GCTAAAAACCCTGTTTTTCATGCTCGAACAAAGCATGTCGAGATTGATTACCATTACATCCGCGAAAAAGTTCTTCACGATCATATCAGCATTCATCATGTTCCTACTCTCTTTCAGATTGCTGATATTTTTACTAAGTCCTTATTTGCATCTCGTTTTGCTACTCTCAGTCACAAGCTTTCAGTTTGTTCTCCTCCCTTCAGCTTGAGGGGGTGTGTTAAGGATACTGAATGACTATCTACTAATCATGAACACAATGTATCAGATTAATACCTAGATACTTAGCTTAGTTGTTAAGTTTTGGTTTGTTAGAGTTTGTTGTATTAGAATGCTTAGTCAGCATTAGTGAGTATTTATGTATAACATACACCTTGTACTGAGTATGGAATTAATGAGATTTATTCTTCAACAACTCAATCTCTCTCTAGATTCTTTCTCTCTGTCTAAACTCTCTCTAGAATCTTGTTTTCTTTACAGATCTTTGATCTTCAACATGATGTACCGCAGAACTCTATGTGCAGCAGCAAGGTGTGGAATACGAGGTTTGTCTATGAATTAGCTAAGACTGTGTATCGCATACACCAAGTCATGTCTCGTAATCGTCAAGTATATTAATCTTTCAACAAGTCTTCTATACACAGAGGCATCATTTAGTAATGCACCATCAGTTTGCATAAGTGTGAGATTCGGCTCCATGGGAAATTTCGTAGGCTTTGCACTAAGAAAGTCTGTATCCTCCAAAATTTCTAGAGCATATTTCCGCTGTGAGATTGTGTAATGCCTTTGTCTGATCGTGCAACTTCTAAGCCTAAGAAATATTTTAACTTTCCAAGATCCTTAAGCTTGAACCTTTCAAATAAGAAGCGCATTGTTGCTTCGATTTGACCCAAATCATTACCGGCCATGATAATATCATTTACATAAACAAGCAGCGCTGTGAATGAAGCACCTCGTGTTTGGATGAACAATGAATAATCCGTTCGTGATTAATGATAACCACCAGATTTAAGAGCTGTTGACAACTTCAAGAACCATTGTCTATATGCTTGCTTAAGTCCATACAACGATTTGTGTAATTTGCACACTCAAGTCTCTCCATTTCGTCCAAAATCAAATGGGAGTGACATGTATACATCCTCATGAAGGTCACCATGAAGAAATGCGTTATTAACATCGAGTTGGTGTAAATGCCACCCTTGGACAGCAGCAATGGCAAGGAGAAGATGAACTGTACCTAGCTTGGCAACATGGGCAAAGGTTTCACGGTAGTCGAGCCCTTCTACTTGGCTATAACCATTCGCCACCAATCAAGCCTTATAGCTTTCGATAGTACCATCAGGATTGGGTTTAACTTTGTAAACCCATTTGCACCCAATGGCTTTCTTGTTGGGTGGTAGTGAACGGAGCATCCAAGTCTTGTTGGCTTGGAGGGCATTGATTTCATATCTCATGGCAGCTCTCCAATGTTCATCCTGCATGGCTTGAGAAAATGTTTTGGGTTCTTTGACATGGGTGAGTGAGGTAGTAAAGGCACGATGGTTAATGGATAATTGGTCATATGTAAGATAATGAGAAATAAGGTGAGATGTACCTGACTTGCGAACCACGTTGAAGACAGATGCGGGACTAGAAGGGAGCTCAACATCAACCTGATAATCATTAAGGTGCGAAGGTGTATGTGTCGGACGGGTGGAACAACAAAGAATTGGTTCTGGAAGTGGTGAGATAGGATTGGGTGGTGGTGATATAGGATCGGATGTGGGCGAGATAGGATCAGATGGTGGTAATCTGATGATTGGAAAAGGTGGCATTGGTGAAGTGATTATGGTTGGTGTCATTGGTAAAGATGAAAGGGAATTGGTGGTTGTTGCTTGTGTTTTTTGAGTGGTATGATTTGTGGGATCAAAATCATCATCATGTCCATGGAAATGAGGATAATGGGTTCAGTGGCAGTGAAGATGTGAGCATATGGGAATTCATGTTCATGAAAAGTTACATCTCGAGATGTGAACATTTTTCCGAGTTCAATGTCATAAACCTTGTATCCTTTTTGGCTATGTGGATAACCAAGAAATATGCAGCGAGTGGCACGAACATCAAATTTGGAAGGTCGGTGTGCGTGTGTGGAGGAAAAACACAAACATCCAAAAACCCTAAGGTACGTGTATTGAGGTGGAGTACGAAACAAGAGTTCATATGGAGTTTTATCGTTGAGAACCGGTGTAAGTGTGCGATTGATGAGGTAGGCGGCGGTTAGAATGGCTACCCCCCAAAATTGTTTAGGTAATTTGGCTTGGAAAAGTAATGCTCGTGCTACGTTCAACAAATGACAGTGCTTTCTTTCAACAACCCCGTTCTGTTGAGGTGTTGCAACACAACTTGTTTGGTGGAAAATTCCCTTTGATGAATAAAAGAGTCAAGGTTAAACTCTGGACCATTGTCACTACGAATAATTTTAACAGTATACATATATTGTGTCTCAACAAGAGCAATGAAATGCATAAAAAATGTGCGTGTGTCAGATTTATGACGCATGAGATACACCCATGTGCAACGAATATAATCGTTGACGATTGTAAGGAAATAACGAGCACCAGAAAAAGAAGGGATGTGATAACCACCCCAAAAATCCATATGCAATAATTCAAAAGGTTTAACGGTGGAAATTGAGCTTAAAGGAAAAGGAGTTCTTGTTTTCTTTGCCAGTGGACAAACAAGGCAATCACTAGCATCACAAGGCTTGATTGAACTAACAAAATTTGGAAGAAAACGTAAAACTTTATGCGAGGGGTGACCAAGGCGTTGATGCCAAGAAGCAGGAGATGATGTTTGGATGACATGGTAGGTTGCAGGCTTGTAATTATCAAGGTAGTAAAGTCCTTCCTTCTCAGTTCCCGTCCCAATCACCTTCCCCGAACGTAGGTCTTGTATGACAGAATAACGATGAAGGAAGATGGTTATACAAAAGGAAGTGAGTGTGGGTTTGCTTATTGAAATGAGATTCAGACTAAAGGATAGGAGGCAAAGAACATCTGTAAGAATCAATTGGGTTGAAAAGACCATTTCCCAACATGTGTAACTTTGGCATAAGACCCATTTGGGAGTTGTACAATTCTATTATGGACAGGTATGCAAGAAGTTAACAAGGTATGTGAACAAATCATGTAGTGGGTAGCACCACTATCAAATATCCAAGACATCATTTTTCCATGTGAAGAAAAACAAAATGCTTTACGTGACAAGTCACTAAAGGTTGTAGAATTACCAACATTATGTGCCATTGCATTTGATTTGTTGGTGTTCAGCATGCTTAGGATTTGTTTGCATTGCTCCAGAGTGAACGGGAATGAGCTAGACGGTTCTAGTTTGTCCGAGGCAGAAGAGAAGACATTGTACCTCTGGAAGTATCTCTTCGTGTGTTGTTGTTGCGTTGCTCATCCTCACAAACTTTCTTGTATTTGCGGCAGTAGTCAATTGTATGACCCGTCCAACCACAAAAATCACATTTTAGATGAGAACAACATTTTTCAGTTTTGTGTCCCGTCTTGTCGCATTTTTCACACTTAGCATTTAGGTTTCTTTTTTATGTCCCCTTCCCTTGGTCGCGGTTACTCCCCTTTGCAGCAAATGTCGTTGCCTCTATTAGTACATTCCCAGCAGATACGTCTTGCTGTCGTTCCTAACGAAGGATTAAAGAGTATACTTTGTTGATTGTGGGCAAAGGATCCATCAACAAGATTTGCCCCCTAACTGCTCCAAAATTCGTATTTAATGACATCAGAAACTTGATAGTTTTCTAAATTTGCATGTAGTCACTAACGTTCTTCATGGCCCCGCAATTGCATGCGGGAATGGCAAGAAGAGCGTTGCACTCGTCCCAAAGTCCCTTGAGCTTGGTAAAATAAGAACCAACTGTCATGGTCCCTTGAACACAATCGGATATCTCACTCTTTATGTGAAATAGTTGCATGCTATTAGCCTGGGAAAAACGCTCCTTAAGTTCTGCCCAAATTTGAGATGCTAGTTCACAATATATCACGCTGGCTAATATCTCCTTAAAGATGGAACTGAGCAACCATGTTTTTTACTAACACGTTGCATCGTCCCCATTGTTGCATATCTTCCTGTGAACCTTCAGCTGGTTTCTTGATAGAGCCATCGACGAAGCCCATCTTGTTCTTGGCTTGCAGTGCCATAGTCATGGCAAGGCTCCATGTGCTATAGTTGTTCTCACTTAGTGGCTACGTCACAAGGGACACTCCGGGTTGGTCTGAGTGGTGTAGGTAGAATGGATGATTAGGATCATACTTTGTCCCTTCCGAGATATGGACCTAGAGCTCGATTTCGTCTCTTTGCTGTCACCCATGGGTAGCGGCTAGGGTTTGTGTATTTTGGATGTTGTTTTAGGTCACCAAGAGCTTTCTGCTATGTTACCATCAATGAAATCTTGTTTGAGTAAATACTTTCTCTTGTAATATTATTCAACACAATGTATAAGATTATATACAATAGCTATGACGTAATTGATGCTAAACTAACTACTACAATTAAGCTAGCATACAACAGAATAGGAAAATATGTTACAATTAATTTGATATTTGCTGGATTGATTTGTTACTTGAATCGTGCTGGACCTTTCCTTCTTTAACACCACCCACCGTTGAAACAACTAATATGCATGAAATAGTGAAATAAATAATCAGTGAGGGGGAAGAAATTGATCCCATGTTGGAGCTTTTTCGTTCCAATCCAAATCGAGCAGGAAGGAAGAAGTTGAGGAGGAAACATCCAACCTTGAGAACCTCATCTTCTGGGTACCGAATCGAGGAGAATTAAACTTACGAACCCAAAATCACAAAAAACATCCAAATTAAAATATTGTCAGGCACCAAATGAAGGCCCAGTGAGTCGGCCTAGCCCAACATAAAGCGTGCCGATATTTTTCCTCCGTGAGTTTTTGCCTTTGGGAGCATTTCGCTCGTCAGTGCACTTGACTAATCATGGCCTCGTTCACTCAGCCCAAAGACGACTCAGTCCCGGCCACCGTGTCAACTCGCCCGTTCGACGACGACGGCTACCTACCTGGGCTACGACCCCCGACTCTCCTCCCAGCGATTCGACTCCGAGTCGCTCAAGGACTCCGCCACCGATTTCCTTATCTTCCACGGCTCCGCCGTAGAGACGACGCTTTCGCCACTCAGCCGGCGTCGGAGGCCCTCTCTCCTCCGTCGATCTACGCCGAATCGAACGGCCAGGGCTTTGATGGAGGGTTTGGCGGGTCCGACTATCCGATTTTGCCGCCTCCGTCGGAGATGCTGCCTGAGGAGTGTTTCGCTCTCAGAAATGGAAGAGGTAGGGTCTCGAATTCTGATTGTTTTCGATTGAACCGATAGTTCTGTATGTCAATTAAATTTGGACTTTTGTGCAATTTAGTTGAAAGGTGTTGGTTTTGATTTGGGTTGATCTTTCTGTTGCTGAGAAATTGAGTGGAAGATGTTGGTTTTGATTTGGGTTGATCTTTCTGTTGCTGAGAAATTGAGTGGAAGTTGTTGTTTTGATTTCAGTAATTTTCAAGAATTGCATGCGTGGTGATCAGTAATCGTCTTTCTGATATCAAATCTTTATGAATTTATCGTGCCGATTGTTCGTATAAGATTGTGGAGCTGAATTCGAATTGAAAAAGGATTCGTGATTGTTGTCAAATTGTAGTTATTGACTATCAGAAAGTGATTTTATGTTTGTATTGGAGGTGGTGGGAGAAATAAATGGTTGAATTCTGTGAGGTTGTAAGGGAGTTATAATAATCCGAGCTTTTGTGACATTCAGGCAGAATGCGATTCATCCCGAGAAGGAGAAGAGAGAAAAGGAGTTGTTGGTTCAAATAATTGAGGAAGCTGATGAATTCAAGGTGGGATTCTACCAGAAGAGGAAGATCACTACTGAAAATAACAAGGCTGCTAACAGGGAAAGGGAGAAGGTTTGATCAATTTAGCTTTCCAAAATATTATGATCGGCACAGTATTTTGTTTCATTGAGCTCTTCTAGTAATGTCGATTTCAGACTTTACTGCCTCAGTTTTAAGTTTTTTGTTGGAATGCATATGAAGATTCTTTCAGCTGATGCTTATAGTTTGTTTATTTCATTTAACTTTCGTTTTTGAATTGCTGATTCATTGAATAATTGAATACTTGATTGAAATAGGCGTTGAAGAAGAGCCACAGATAGTTGACATGTAGCTCGCGACATCCACTCAGCTTGGTTATTGATAACTTTTTACAAGATCGTAACTTTTATTCTCTCTGCTGGGACTGAACTTTTCTGAATTCAACTAAGTGATGGTCACAACTGTTAAAGGATTCGCTATGCAAATCTACAATGTTTCCCTGTTAGGCTTCATTGCAAAAGAAATACTACTAATATTGGTCGTGTTAATGGTTTTCTGAACTCTAGTCCTTTTAGCTAAACATTTTGGAATTGAACTTTCTCGCAACTTTATGGTTTTCTTTGCCTTTAATATCCATATTGATCTCTCTGGCATCTAACTTCTAAGGTATGAAGAAGCGAGGAGTTAACTTGCATTTCTGACATATTGTTTTGAACTTATAGTTTGGCGTTTCTCAGCTGTTCCTGGCTAATCAAGAGAAGTTTCATGCTGGGGTAGACAAGAACTACTGGAAGGCAATTGCGGACCTCATCCCCAATGAGGTGCCAGCAATAGAGAAGAAGAGAGGGAAGAAGGATATGGAAAGGAAGCCATCCATTCTCGTTGTCCAAGGTCCAAAGCCTGGAAAGCCAACCGAGCTTTCGAGGATGAGGCAGAGACTTTTAAAATTGAAGCATAATACACCTCCCCACCTTAAGCCTTCACCTCGAGCCCCAGCTCCCACCAAGGATGCAAAACCGAGTACTTCTGCTCCCCCCAAGGCTGCAGTTGTGGCGGCTACCCCCGAGGCTGTAGTTGCTGTTTCGTAATTTGCCTGGCATTCTTTGTGAGGCGTATCTCATAGAAACCCAGTATTTCCATTACAACATTGTGGAGTTTTTCTTGTTTAGTTGGACATTTCCTGATGGGTATATTCCGTTCTTAGTTTTTATTGTTCCGATTGGCGATGGAATTCTCAGTGGATTGTCGTCTCCTTGAAGTCTGGGATGACCGAGATCGATTGATTCAGCATCATCGGAAATCATTGGGGCTGGATCAGAAACTCCCCCAACTGCGAGAGCCAAATCACGGCGTAACAGAGAAAGTTCATGGCGGACGGGTGCCAGACTTTCACGGAACGCAGCACGCACTGAAGCTTCAAAGGAGTCTGAAACTTGCGCGGCCATGACAGCGAGATGATAGGATCACAAATCTCAGGACCCTATCTCAACCTGCAAGCTGCAATAGAAATGGTAAATGGAGAAGATGAAGTAGAAGGGAGCAGGGCTCCAATATATTTTTGTGTTTGCATTTTTTTCTGTAAAAACTGTTCTGATTACAATACTGAGAACTCCATTGCGGCTGCAAAACAAGGATCAAGTTTTGAAGCAGAAGTGATATGCATGAACAGAAGCAAAACAAAAACTTGCAGCAAATGTAGGTGTCGATGAAAAACATTGTAAGTTGACTCAAAGACATAGAAAGTTAAAGTTAACAGGAGGAGTAAACTTTGGAGTCCAAATTGGTTGCTCAAAGTCTACGGAAACTTCTTGGATATCTCTGTCGTTGCCTTCGCTTTATGACTCATAGTAATTTTTATATATCATAATCTATTAGAATATTCAAATTAAAATTTGAATGGAAATTATGGCCAGATCCTCTCTCTTAATGAAACTCTAATCATGGCCGTCCCGCAGGGGAGAAGTGAATTAGTTGGGTGAGAAGATTTAAAAAAATTAAGACTGATTGCTGGCCACATGATCTGCATTAAGGGCCAGGATTGTAGTTTTTGGAAAGAATCTGGCGAGAGAGATTCGGAGAGGATCTGGATCCGTGAAATGGTACAGACCTTTGGGTTTGGCACATAACTCTTCTAGTGTTACTTGCTGTGAGGAAAATGCTGAGCCCCTTTCGTTGGAACCCTATTTCTGTCCCCCGGCAAAACATGTCCAATTCAATTCAACGATAGCCATCCTTCTCTCCTCACGCGCTGTTGTTTATTTGCTTAATCTTTCTCAGCTTCCGCATTGTCAGTTTTGCTAGCGGTGGTTTTCTTTTTTTTCTTGCTGAAATGGGATTATCTCCACATGTGGTTCTTCTTTTTCTTGTCATAGAGATCGAAATGAAGATAAGCTTGGGCCATGAATATCCATCATTCAGTAAGCAGAAGTAGGAATTCTGGTGATTAAATTATGCAAGGCAGAGTGACGTAACAAGATGCAGGTTATGAGTTGGCAGGACAATATCTTACTTTGATAAACATCATGACCAAGGGTTTCGGGTTGCCGAACAATTACTTGACTTCTTCACACCATGCCTGAAGCGCATAAAGAAATTATGCAGCAAACTGCCACGAATAAGACCATAATGTATGCTTTTCGCAGACGATATAGTGTTGATAGATAAAACTCATGAAGGAGTAAATGCGAACCCTTGGAGAGAAGGGTTGGAATCTTAAGGTCTGCGCCTAAATCGGTCAAAGACAGAGTATATGGATTGCAAGTTCAGTGCAAATGAAGGCTCAAATAAGTTAGGGGTGAGGATTGGAGATCAGGAAGTACCAAAGAGCAACTGTTTTCGCTATCTAGGATCTATCTTACGAAAGAACGGAGAGTTGGATGGAGACCTTAAACATAGAATACAAGCTGGATGGATGAAATGAAAGAGTGCATCCGACGTGTTGTGTGACTGTCGTATGCCACTAAAACTCAAGGGAAAAATTTTATGGGCTGTCAATAAGGCCGGCAATGCTTTATGACACATAATGTTGGGCGGTAAAGTATCAACACATACATAAAATGGGTATAGAGGAGATGAGAATGCTTCATTGGATGTGTGGGCACACGAGAAAGTATAAGATTAGGAATGAGGATAACCGAGGTAAAGTAGGAGTAGCCAAAATTGAAGGAAATATGAGAGAAAATCAGTTATAGTGGTTTGGACATGTGAAACGAAGGCCTACTAACACTCCGGTTAGAAGATGCGATTACAGGACCAAGGTTCAGGGCTGAAGGGGTAGAAGAAGACCTAGAAAGACATTTGAATAGATTCTAAGAAAAGACTTAGAGCACTTGGATCTAACGGAAGACGTGGCACAAAACCGAGCGCAATGACGTTCTAAGATTCATATACCCGACCTCACTTAGTGGGAAAATGCTTTTTTGTTGTTGTTGTATACTATGAAAAATATTATGTTAATCTTTTATTTTGACGCTTACAATATTGTTCATGTCTGCAATTCTGCAAATGTAACTCAAGAGTCTAGAAAGCTTATGAAATAGGCCCGAATCCTTGACTTAGTACTCGAACAAAATCAGTTGGATCGCGTCCTGCTTAGGCCGTGATCATATGAATTCTAGGAATCCAGGTTCCAGTTAGTACATCCCTTACTAGGCATAGTCCTTCAACATGTCCAATATTCATCCGCTCTCGGCAAATCTGCAGAACAAGCAAATCTTTGCCTTTGATCATCATGGACCTTTCCTATTGTTTGCAGTATTACTATGTGTGCTGCTTTCGTTTACTTGAAGAAGCACGGGATCACATATTTCTTCAACCAGTTCAGGCAAAGCTATCCGAGCGAACTTGTGCAGGTTCAGACCATCTTTGAAAATTTCATATGTAGGTCACTTTCCAATAAGCATCTTCAACAACAGGATTCCCTAACTATGCATATATACGCATGCAATAATTATAGCTCTTGATATTAAGTGCGTTTGGTAATTAAGTTGACGCAAAAACTCAAAAAGAACATGAATGATTTTCAACGTCTATGATTTCAAGAGACTCTCTCATGGGACTGGGAGACGTGCATGACCTACATTTATGGAATAATTGGAATAATTTTTAATTGGTGATGTATAAGCATTTATTGAACTGGTCACGTCACTAAACTATGTATTGGTTGCAACTTGCAAGACAGAATTTATGTATAATGAAAGCTGCATTAGCTAAAAGACACAACTGATTATTGTTAACATTAGATAATTTGAAAGAAACAATTGAATACTTTATAGAAGAAGGTGTTGGAGCAATTTAAGAAAATACAAAAATAATATAAATTCTTACGATAATAAGAATCAAGAAGTCACAACCAAATTAAATTTGATACACTAAAACCATGGTCTAAAATATCCATAATATCCCGATATTTCTATCGAAATTTCCGTATTTTTTTACTACCGATATTTTTTTGAACTACCGATATTTCCGATATCATCGATATTTTAGATCTTGCTAAGTCACTCATGTATCTTACCATACAATGTATAAAGTGTAAAATATTGTACTAATTCATTATATATAAATGATTATGGTGTGTTAAACTTCTTTTATTAATTACTACATATTTTCTACACTCACAATATTTGTTAACTCGCTATATAATCAACTTAAATCAGTTATATCTATCATGCAATGCATTTCCTTCCAATTTTTTGTGATAAACTAATAGATAATTGACTAAATAAACATCCTGCAAAGTTTCAATAAAAATTTCCAAGTTTTTCTTACAATTTTCGTAGTTTTTATTCAATTTTTATCAATATCGATAATATCCCGATATTTCCATCAAAATTTCCGTGTTTTTGGACTACCGATATTTCCGATATCATCGATATTTTATACTTGACTAAACCACAAAACTAGCTGATTCACTGTTCACAAGCCAGTTTGCTTCCCGTTTTATCCCTGTTAAATTTTATTTATTACCTCTCTGCAACAGTCAGAGAAAATATATATACGCTTTATTTTTTTTTTCTTTTTTCTCTTCCCCCTTCGCTCCTCACCAACTCCGACTTGCCGTTCGAACGAGAAATCCAAAAATCGACGTTTTCTGGCGGCTGGCACTGCAACCACAACAATTCGACTCAAGAGAGTGCCAACAACAACATTCGAGCTTTGCATGCTCGAATCTACCCTCGACCGAAGAGTTCCATAAGCCCAGCTTGGGGTGTTTATTTTCCGGCCAATTTCAGGCCTTTCCGACCTTTTTTGGGTCCGGAGAAGGTAATATTTTTCTTGTACACCCTCGAATTATCTTAGATTGTGAGCTAATCGGGGTCTGCAAATTTTTCCACGGTATCACCATCCTAGATCCCAAAAATTTATTTACAAATATCCTTTTTCGCAATTCTTTTCTTGATTTCTTGATTTTTGCATACCCCTTTCTCAATTGAACCGAACCATAGCATTAGAAAAAAAAATGTAATTATTAGGGTTTTTTTTTTGGTAATTTTTCCGATTTTGGAAATTTGATGGTGTTTGTGTACCGTTGCAGGTGATTGCCAAAGAGTCTCTCTACTGACTGCACAGGTATGAAAACAATAGTCCTGACATCACTGCTATAATTCCTTGCTAATTTGTCGTCATGGTTAAGATTATTGTTTCAATCGGGTTGTGTTTTTGTCATAAGGAGGATTTCCGCAGGGTGAGAGGAATTGGCTGAAACTCATAAACCAGTCATCGGTGGAATTGAATGTTAGGAGCAAAACTATTTTTCATTAGATAAGGAGTGAGAAATGTTGAATGCTATCAGTTCTCATATGCTGCCTTGACATGAAAACATAAATATTGACGAGAAGTGAGCAATGTTGAATGCTATCAGTTCCCACTCAGATACAGACTTCTCAAACTTGTGCAACTCCCTAAGCTTTGTGGAATCTCACCAGATAACTTGTTTTCAGAAACATCCAAGAAAACAAGATGCTGTAAGTTACCTACTTCCATGGGAATGGATTCAGTAAATTTGTTTCTAGATAGATCCAACGCAACAAGTAAATTGATGACTTGTTTTGGAATTGGACCGCTAAGATTGTTGTGGGAAAGATCCAAATATAACATAAGCCTGCAGTCTCCGAGACTTTGTGGTATGCTGCCTTGTAACTGGTTTGACTGGAGATACAAACTGCTTAATGAAGTAAGATTTCCTAGCGATGATGGAACATTACCTGACAATTCATTCGAATGTAGAAATTGTTAAAACCAAGAATGAACGTTTGACAGAAATGTATATTTGATCAAGCACACAAGAACTGGGAGAATATTTCTTATTGAATTCAAGAGCATACAATGGCATTAAATAGCCATGCAAAACAAACTGGAAAGGAAATCATAACCCACGTTTACACAACCCTAATTATGTGGTACATGACTAGTGATAGAAACAAACTAAACAAGTGTATTCCTCAAAGTTAGGGATTATTATCCACTACTTGAAACAAACCTACAAACCAGGAAACCCAACCCTATCAGCTTGGTAACCCTAAAAACTTCAACATCCTCCCTTAAACTGATTCCTATTAGCAAACAATTTATACTTGGATATAAACAAATACCCAACAAGTCACGTAGCTTCAGGAACACATCAAGCTTCAGAGGTTTAGTCATTATATCTGCAACTTGCTCTTGAGTATTGCACTGAACCAACTGCACAACTTCATCTTTGGTGAGCTGACGAAGAAAGTGAAATCGCACATCTATGTGTTTGCTACGGCCGTGCATCACAGGATTCCTTAAAAGCTTAATTGTTGAGCTATTATCATAGTATATTGTGGTAATCTTACATTGATCACGACCAAGCTGCTGCAGGATTCTCCTTAACCACACTGCTTGACACGCACTTGATGCTGCAACAATAAATTCAACTTCGGTAGTAGACAAAGTGACCACTAGTTGTTTCTTCGAAGACCATGACACTGCCCCTGAGCTCAGCATAAAAACATACCTTGAAGTACTCTTCCTATCATCCTGATCACCGGCATAGTCATTGTCTGTAAACCCAAAAAGCTCCTCGTTTCCTCCCTTCCTGTAGAACATCCCAAGATTGATTGTGCCCTTCAAGTATCTCAACGCCTTTTAGCTGCTCGTAGATGAATTTCAGTTGGACGCTCCATATATCTTGTAATACCCTGAAAAATGTAAATATAGGAATTGGGTATTCATAATTATGAATATGTAAAAAGAATTGGGAATTTATATTAATTCATAAAATTTTAGTTTTAAATTAAACTAGTTACGAGGTTTAAAGTTTGGATATTAATTATTGAAGATATGTAGACCCTTCAAGGTCAAAATTTCTGTTTTTGAATAAAGCTCGATCTCACGAACCCGTAGGCGCAAACGGAACGCAATTTGGAGATATAACGAAGAAGTTATTAACGCTTAAAGTCGAGGGTAAAATTGTAAATTTATCATTTATAGAATGCTCCAGATTTTTGGAGCCAAATTTGGAAGGCCACGTGTGTGGCCCAGATTAAAAGTAAGAAAAGTTAGGCGGTGGAGATGGAAGATAAAGGAGAGAAAGGAGGGAGAGATGAGCCAAGGAGGAAAGGGGGAGATAAGAGAGTGACCAATGAGAGAAGAGAGAAAGGAGGGGAAAGGAGAGGAAGGAAGTGCACTAGATCCTTCGACCCGGTTCTATGCCATCGACCTGACCCGGCTTTCTCCACCTCCTCCGGTGGCTTTTCGTCGGTTTTTCCGACGAATTATGTTACCAAACCATCTTAAAAAGGTTCCATGACCTCCCCTTGACTGATTCTATCATAAATTAGATAGATATTGACCCTGAAACTGTGCAAAACCCCACCGGTGGGTGCGTGAGTTCATAGGTGGCGATCCACCAAATCTGAAACAAACTCTTCCAATTACCACCACCAACATGTTCCTAGAGAACCCAGGAATAAAGCCCAAACAAGGTTTGGGGCGTCAGAGCTGCTATGGAGTCGAGTCGAGGACATCCAAATTTCTAGGGTTCCGGCGGGTTTGGGCCAAATTGGAACCTTTCTAGACCAAATTGGACTTGGTCACATGTATAAAGTTTTCTCTACTCTTTGAGATCTTCCTTTCTGTAATTTTTGAGAATTTTTAGAAATAATTGAATTTTTCTGTGAGTCAGGGCGACCGACCGCCACCTGCGGCAGTGGGTGCGGCGGCGCATGGCCAGGGAGCCGACAATTGTTCTTTATGCGAATTTCGTTATTCTAATTATGTTTTTGAGATCAAATTGTTGTGGTTTGAATATTAATATGATTTTGGTATATGTTAGATTAACTGAATATATTCATATTTTGTTTAATTTTGGAATATGTGAACTACGAAAGGCTTGATCCCACTCCAGGGTACGTAGGCAATCTAACAGTGTTAGATGCAGCCTTAAATAACTCGAGAAATAATTCTTAGAATGAGAAGTGTGTTATAAAAGGAAACAGAGACAAGATGAGAATAAATTTGTACGTTTAGTGTTTAAATTTTTTTTAATTATGAATCAAGGTCGGAAACAAGACATAGAATTAAAGAAAGGAATTTAGTAAATAATTTGAGTTTTACCTTATGTTTTTTTAGTCGGTTTTGAATTTAATGTAAGGATTAGTGAATTGAATATAGTAGAAAATAAACAATTAATGGTAATCAACTAAAAATGATTTTTAGGTTGGGCCTATAAAAAATAATAACATTATTTCCCGAATTAAAGAATTTATTCGAAGTGGGGCGTTACATATCTACTAATCAAACTCACTATAAACATCATGTCAGGACGTGTGGCAATCAAGCACATTAGACTGCCCACGATTTGTTTATAGAGAGTGATGTCAACCCGTACCCCATCTTCATCTTTGACAAGCTTGAAACCAAGAACAATAGGATTATGGACTAGGTTGCACTGATCCATGTTGAACCTCTCTAATACCTCTTGAGCATATTTTCATTGACCAATAAATATACCATCCGGCCTCTGCAGCACTTCAATACCAAGGAAGTAACTCATCCTCCCATGATCAGTCATATCAAACTCAGCCATCATAGAATGCTTAAACTCTTTGAACATTAACTCATCATTTCCAGTAAATATAAGATCATCTACATAGAGACAAACAATCAACATTTTACCTCCATCCGTTGCTTTGATGAAGGGACACTTTGTAAATCCTTCCTTGAGAAAGTAGGACTTTATACGACTGTACCAAGATCGGGGAGCATGTTTAAGGCCATATAAAGCCTTTTTGAGTTTGTATACCTTCTGCTCGTGACCCTTTTGTACATGTCCAGGAGGTTGTGCAACAAAGACTTCTTCACTAAGTTCTCCATGTAAAAAGGCCGATTTAACGTCTAACTGGTAAATGGACCAGTTTTCTTGTGCTACAAATGAGATCACAAGTCGAATGGTGTCCATGCGAGCAACTGGAGCAAACACCTCAGCATAGTCGACTTCATGGGTTTGGTTGTACCATTTTGCAACCAAGCGAGCTTTGTATTTATCCATTTCACCCTTCTCGTTAATCTTCGTTTTATAGATCCATTTTACACCAATCATTTTCCCCCTCGTGGCAGGTCAATTAACACCCATGTGTCATTTTTCTCTATGGCTTCAATTTCTGAGTTCATTGCTTCTCTCCATTTTGCATGCTTCTCGGCTTGTTCATACGAAATTGGATCACTATCAACAAACATGGCCAGGTAAGCCATGTCTTCTTTCTCAAAAAGTCCCTGCCCGCTCTCGTAATCGCTCATCCATATGGGTTGTCTTTTGATTCATCCTTCACTGGGGGTGTTGGAGTCTTCATTTGTTAACTCATTAAATGAGTTAACTGAGCTATCAATCTGGTCAGGATATCCATCTTCTCGGCTCTCATCAGTTTCCTCTCCATTTTCTTCAATGTCCTCCACTTCTTCCATTGGTCATTCAAGATCTTCCATAGCTGCCTTCTGATGATTGTTGTCCCATTCCCAGCCTTTGTCTTCTTCGAAAATCACATCTTGGCTCACGACTATTTTATGAGAAGCTGGATCAAATAGTCAATATGCCTTTGATTCCTCACTTACTCTAAGCAAGATGCACTTTGAGCTCTTGTCATCAAGCTTAACTCTCTTGTTATCAGGAACATGAACATGAGAGATACACCCAAAAACCCTGAAGTGGTTCACTGATGGTTTATAGCCACTCCAAGCTTCTTCTGGAGTCATATTATTCACTGCAAGTGTTGGGTTTCTGTTTAAAACATGAATCGTCCAGTTTATTGCTTCTGGCCAGAATGTCTTTGGAACCTTTTTCTCTTAAAGCATGCTTCGAACCATATTCATGATGGTTCGGTTCTTTCTATCTGCGACCCCATTTTGTTGGGGAGTGTACGCAGAAATTAATTGCCTTTGTATCCCATTTTCATCACAAAAGTTTGTAAACTCGCGTGATGTAAATTCGCCCCCTCGATCCGTACGAAGCCTCTTTATGCATGCTCCAATTTCTTTTTCAATTTTAGCCTTATAGCTTTTGAAAGTATCAAAGGCTTCTGATTTTTCAACAAAAAAATACACCCATGTCTTTCAACTAAAATCATCAATAAAGGTAATGAGATACCTTTTCTTGCTGTTTGAAGTAGGGTTAATTGGGCCACATATATTAGCATGTACCAGTTGAAGAATCTGAAAAGCTCTCCATGTGCTTGCTTTTGGAAATGGATCTCTTTGCTGTTTTCCTACCAGACAACTCTCACACATCTTTGCAAGGGTCTTGAACTGTGGTAATCCTTGCACCATCTTCTTTTGTTGAAGTACCTTAAGACCATTCCAATTTAAGTGACCATACCTACAGTGCCAAAGTTGAAATTGATTTTCAATAGTCGAGTTGAAGCAATGTTGTTCTTTTAACAGTGAGCGAGCAAGAATGATAAACATTCTGTTGGAAGACATTTCTGTTTCCATGACCAAACCCCTCCCAGGATGATAAATTTTGCATTTTCCATGTTGCATGAGGATGGCAAGGCCCTTCTCTTGTAGCTGACCAATGCTCAGTAAGTTGTTCTTCAATTCCGGCACATAGAATACTCCCGTAATCACTTGCACGAGACCATTCACTTCCATTCAAATGTTCCATTTTCCCAGCACAGCAAGGCTTGAGTTGTTTCCCATCTTCAAGTGTTCTCTAAAGCTTTCATCTAACTCTGAGAATAACTC